CTCCCCATACACACCTACATAAGTGCCCACATATGTATCAACTCCCCCTCCCCACACCCAAACCTCACACGACACACAGAAACCTCCCATAGTGTACATACACCTTCCGTGACCCCCCACATGTGTTGGTTGTCCGTAACCCACACCGGCTGATCACACAAGGCATGGGGCACACACAGGGCAAACAGATACACACCGGTTGCCTTATTAGCTACTAAATTCTAAGCGTTGTGAGATCTTTAAGCCCAGCAGACACATATGGGTTGGTTTATTAGCTACAAAACGTTTAAAGCTTTATACGATCTGGGGGCAAATAGAGATATAGTAGTTGGCTTATTAGTAAGTTTCGTTTACTTGTTTGTTTGAGGAAAGAGAAAAGTTTCAACTCAATAACGGTGGCACCGCCAGTTCACACAAGGGAACTTGCAAGCACATGACTAACTGGAGATGCAGGAATTGGTTTATTTACTACGTTTTATTTGTTCGTGTGTATGTTGGTTAGTTAGTTTTTTGTTTGTATGTATATTTGTTTGTTTGTTTATTTGAATAAAGAGAAGCATAATATATCGATTCAATAACTATCATTTATTGCTTGGAAAAGGATAACAGACAGACAGAAACAACAAATTAATAGTCACACAGCTAGACAGCACACGCCAGGGTAGAGGCAGTTTGCTTATATTAGACTTGTATGTATGTATGTATGTTTGTTTGTTGGTTTGCCTGTGAGTTTGTTTAAATAAAAGGAAACACCTGGACTCAAAGACGACCATTTGGTGCTTGGAAAAAAGAAAGACAACCACACAGAAGTGACAGAGGGAAAGAAAAACAGTAGGACCTACTTGTGCCCTCCAGTCAACCGCGGTTTGATTTTTAATACAATGTACCCATTTTACATTGCCCACTGACAAATATATATTTGATTCAGTCGAGTTCAGTCGGATTTCCCTTCATGGATGGGACAAAGGCTATATGTTCAGAAATAAAGAAGACAAGAACATAATATATGATGGCAATTTAAAACTACCGTTTTAGCCCAGTACGATGGATTCAACTTGCGACCTTGAAAAATAAATGAATTTGATTTTGAAGGTCACAGTCGAGCCAAATTGATGGCTTTTGCCCCATCTGCAAGGGAAATTTTGATTGGCTCCGACTCAGTCATAGAAATACAATTATTGACAGAGTGCGGTTTAGGTAGTAGTAGCTACATTACAAGACTAGAAGTAGTAGATAACAACAGTCATACAGTAATATCCGCTTACCTTTAACCTATACGTACTTATACTCTCTGACCGTCTAGCCTTTAACCATTTCTCGGTCCAAACTCAGAACCCTACTCAAGTTTCCAGTTCTCTTTACAAGGGCTTGTTCCGTGGACTTTTTTTTATCGCTAAGCTTGACGTGTGGCACTAATTTTGTTTTTCAAACTTTTATTTAATTTCTTTTTTTTTTATATGTGTACTGTTTTTTTGGTTTTGTTGTTGTTTT